ATATTTAGTTTATATTATATATGACAAATATACTATATGTTATTTCATATTTGGAAAATAAAATATTAAAATCGTTTTGTTTTCATGTGTACTACTAATCAGAATTAATTAGCATATTTTTTGCTAAAGAAATGTTTTAAAATCTAAACTAAATGATAATTTATTATTAAATCAGATTGCTGTTTCTGGAAATATCCAATAATATATTACCAAAATAAATAAATTTACATATATACAATTTCGAATCAAATAACTTGATTTATTATGGAATCTTCTTTAAACTATTTCCAAAAATATTGGGAAGTTATTATTTTATTGATTTAATTTTGATTTTTGTTTTTAAACCAAGATCCGCGTGTTTATCCGACCATACCAACGGGTCAGCCCAAGATCCGCTGGTTTTTTATGATTAAATTGTCACAATTACCTTTTTTCATTTGTTTTTTTTCCTTCTACAAATTTTAAAAAATCAATGGCATCCTATGTAATATTGTACAACTTAAAGGTTTTTTATTATTTAGTGATTCCCAATTAATTGTATAAATAAATAAATAAATAGTTTAAATCTTAAGAACCAGTTCTTACCATTAATTTTTAGTATTTTTCTATTTTTTTTTTTTGAGAATGTCTCTGAAATCCATGATAACCTAAAAATTTGATCTGAATCCGAACCCAAAAGTTTAGATTTATTCTATTGGGTCCTAAACTCATATATCCGAAAAATCTAAAGCAGAAACTGACCCAAACTCGAACCCGAAAATACCCTAATATGTTTTTCGAAAATCCAAAATTTTACTCGAAATTTGAATTTTTAATCAAAAACCCGAATATTTACCTGAAAAATCGGGTATTTACCCAAAAACTCGATAATTTACCTGAACATTTATATAGCGGGCTACATTATTTATTTAATTTCTTTTTTAACGGGAACGAATATAATTTGGGTTACTATCTCATTGATGGAATTTATCTTAAATGAGTTTTATTTATCCAATCTATTTCACTTCTACAAAGTAAAAAAACATATTTATATATTTGCAATCAATCAAGAAGCTTGTCGTAGAGATGTCGAGCATGCTTTTGGAGTTTTGCAAGCTCGATTTGCCATTGTCAGAAATTCGGTTCTTATTTGGGATAAGGCAAAAGTAAGAAACATTATGCGAGCATGTATAATACTTCACAATATGATAGTAGAAGACGAACGAGATAGATATACTCAGTATTGATTGTTAATTTTATTTTATTTTTATATTGATAATTTTTTTCTAAGAACTAGAAGTTAAAAATCTACTATTGGAGACATATAAAATTTAAAACAAAAATACAGTCTCTTAACTCTAAACTTTACAAATTTAACATCTATATCTACTAAATCAACAGCCACTTTAACAAAAACTGCAATATTCTCCTTTTGACATGTGGCATAAGTCTCAAATTCTCTTCTTTTACTTTTCTACGCCAATTTACTTTTTATTTGATAAACATTTTTTTATTTTTTCCCACAATTTTCTCCTTTTATCTTCTTTCCTAATTAAACTCAACTAATCAAAAATATAAAAAAAAAAAAATTCATTTCTTCATCCCACGTTCCATTTACTAATTTATTTGAGAAAACACTTTTTCCTCCACGATTTTTTTTTTTTCTCATAACTAATTAAATTCACTATTAATCAAAAGTAATTAAAAAAAAAAAAACACCTTTTCATTTCTTCCTCCCACGTTTCATTTTTCTTTTATAACAATTAATAAATCTGATTTCGCTTAAATAATGATTGTGATTTTAATCAAACAATGAAATTTTTGTTTAATCTATGAATCAAACAATGAAAATTTTGTTACTACATGAAATTGTTAATTTCATTTTTCTTTAATCTAATTCTATTTTCGTTAATCTTTTTGCCAATAGATATTACCCATTGTTATAATTAGTTTTTTTTTGTTTAATTTACACAACATTTATATATTTAATTTATTCATCATATATATATATATATATATATATATATATATATTAATTGTTAAGAATAAAATTTTAATCAAAATTTTAGCCCATGCATGGCATGGGCCTTAATACTAGTTAAACTAATATTAAGAGTCAATATTAAGAGACTACCAATAATGTGTCCAACTAACATAACAAATGTGTCACACGTAAGAAAAAGAAAAAAAAAAGGTGCAAAAGCTAGCTAATCAACAATTACATGCATGAAGTAACATAATTATATCATTTCAAAAGTTGTTATTATTGTAAAACGAATGTGAAAATATATACGGAAAATAGATAAAGATGATGGAAAAAAAATTCGCTAACATTAGGGTGATAGCTTTAGTTTTTCTTACTCGACATATAGATGAAATTTGGTTTTAATTTGACTCACACGTTAATTACTATTGAGATTGAATGATGTCTGTGATCCTTGCCTCGTATGTAGTCAAATTTTAGTAAATAAAAATGAAGCATGTGTTTCCTACAATTTCTAAACACATTGTAAAATTTATCAAGTGTAGAGAAAATCATCTCTGCATCACTTGTATTGTCAATTTATTTTAAAATTTTCATTGAATAGCTATAAGTAAAAAAAAAAAACACGCATATATGATCAAATGTTGTATCTCTCTTTTCAAGTTCTACAACATTTTATTGTGAATAAACAGAAAATCCAAAAAAGTGAGAAAGATAACAAAGACATCATCAATTTGTATCAAATCTTATGGTTTGAAAGCAAAGTATTTTGTATTCATTAGTATTGTCTAAGACTACACAGCTTGAGAGCAATGTAATACAAAGAGATCAACAAAGAAATTGGTAGGTTTTTAAGATAGGTACATTCAATAGTGTAAACACAGATATTTTGGATAGAAAATTTTTTTTAAAAGGATTAAAATTCAGATGTTCAAAAAAAAAAGGAGTAAGATGAATTACTACAACAGTACGTATATGTCAGAAAGAAAAAAGACTTCACTACGTATTATGGTCTTGACACAGGTTACCGGCGGAAAATAAAAATGGCCTAAAAATATCTAATCTTTGTGTCCATACGAATCTCTTTTTATTTAGAAATGTTTATTGAGTAGGGTAGGTCAAATGAAAATTCCGACTGGTTTTAGCCGGTTGACAAAGTTAAGAGTGTCAGAAAAATCTCGAAGGTCATGGATTTTAACGAGTAATATAAAGCCACGTGTACAACATAGATTGAACCCCAGCCATTCACCTACTCTCTCAGCCATCTCAGGTCAAATATCTGATCTGACGGCCCACGTCCATTCTCACTTTCCTTAAATTTAGGGAGTTTAACAGTTTCAGAATTTATCTTCTTTTTTTTTTTCTTTTTTTTTTTCATTTTCATGCCCATTCCTTTATTTCAACCTCTTTTTCAAGATTTGCCGTTTTACTAACCAAGTACAACCTTAATTGCACTTTTGCCTATAATTTAAATGTCAAGGCGAAATTAGGTTGTTCCAGTCATATACTTGCAAGATTTTTTTTTGTTGGTTGGATACTTGCAAGATGATCATACATAATAAATCGTCTATACGGAAAGATATTGCGTTACATTAAAAAAAACAAAGAGTGTCTTTATCTAGAATTGAAAATGTCACTGTTATTATATTATTATCCTTTTCTGTTGTCATTTTCGTAACAAATATTATCAATCATTTCTTTGTGAAATCATACATATATATATATATATATATATATATATATATATATATATATATATATATCATATAAGTAGACGAGGTTGAATTGAAAGACGTGGACGCCTTCAGTCCTATCCTTGCAATGATAATACATTTATTTAATTTTGGCAAACTCTTAACACCTAATTTATCACAATTTGTCTTAATTTATCGTCGCATATTATTCTCGTATTATTAAAAAGAGAAGTACAAATTGAAAATTGTACTAAATTGCCATTGGTTGCAATTCAATTTTGACATTTAGAGAGTGTTTTTTGAAATTAGAAAGGGCTAATTGGTCCAAAAAAAATTTGTTATGTTTGATTGATACGATTTGATTATCCATATAGCTAGGATTTATTTTTGAGATAATTAGGCCAGAGGTAATGATCCAAGCCCAAATTAGTTTTTTGGTAATTCCTGTCGGGCCCCGAAACTAGTGTGACAATAGCCCATCTTTTTCCCCATTTTAGCCTCACGCGCGTAAGGAAACGGAAGAGTTCTTTTGTTTCTCCCGAGGTGTTCATGCGTGTATATGTGATGTTCTCTTAAATGAATCCATATTCTTCTGCACTAGGCTGTTGAGTTTCTTTGTGCTTCTCTCTATTTTTTTTCCTCCATTAAAACCCTAATTGCGATCATTGCTCCCAGTTTTCTTACCATCTTCCGTCTTTTCCCTTTTCTGTCACACGGGACTGCCACCGCTTCGCAGTCGCGACTTGCCGGAGTGTCTGTGCCCCCGTTTATAGCGTTAACGCGGTGGATTCATTCGAAGAGTTATGTTTTTATGTGTTAATTGTCTGGGAGTCGAGATTTTGTCCCCGATTTTGGTGTTTTTTTTTAAAAAAAAATTTGAAATGTTTTCTTTTCTGGTTGTTTTCCTTATTCTCCATACCCGATTGTGTACTTTTTAACCTTTATCTGGTGTTTTTTCCCTGTTTTACTCTATAAATTCGGTGTTTATAGCCATAGATCTAATTGGTACTTCACTGTTCTCTTGTCCTTCAGTTTAGATATTCATATTTTCACATAGATCTACATGTACTCTAATATTTCCTATCAACTTTCTGTTTCTTCCGTTTCGTTCTACAGATCTAAATAGACCAGCATGTTTCCTTGTAGATCTATAGGCGTATTTTTTAAACAACTATTATTTTTTTTGGATATACACAGATCTAATTAGGTTGGTATAGATCTACTTAGATCTGTATTTATCGGATATATCTGAAACTTCTCCTCATACTTTTACTTTTATCCGTGTAGATGCATGTTGATGTTTGTCAGTGTATCTAATTTTGTTTTTTCCTTTGTACAGTAATATGGCTGAGTTGGAGCTTCCTTCCCGATTGTTCGCCGATAGAGAGGAACCTGCTGGTGACAGAGTGAATATGTACTTTAAGCTCAACACGATCAAGGCTGTGCTCAAAGCCCTTACGCCTGAAGAACTTGATACCATTAGGCCGTGCTTCGGAAAACTTCTTGATGTCTACTCCAAACCGGTGTTCTCTGGCAAATTGGCTCACTTTCTGTTAACCCGCCAGCTCAATGTTGTAAAGCGACATGAGATATGGGTTGTTTTTGCTGGCAAACCGGTCCGATTTTCTCTCAGGGAGTTTGGTTTGGTCACTGGCCTAAATTGCCAGCCTCTTCCAGCCCTGGATAGAGCTTTAACCAAGTGTCCTCCCGGCGTCACTCCCTACTGGTTCACTCTGTTTGGTGGTGAAGAATGTTTCACCGGAGAGATGTTGTTGGGCAAGCTGCGAAGGCCAAAGGCACTGTCTAGTGAAGTGAGAGTCAAGTATGCCTGTTTGTTGCTTGTTGATGGTTTTCTCTGTCGCCGATCATTCCACATGAAGATTCCTAAGGAGCATGTGGAGATGATTCGTGATCTTGATGTCTTTTTGAAATACCCGTGGGGGCGCTACAGTTTCGATATGACAATGCAATGCATTAAGTCAAGATCTCTCAATCAATTAGCTCAAGCAACTGTGGCTATCCAAGGTTTCATCCATGCACTTTGTCTGGTTTTGGTGGAGGCGGTCCCAGCTGTTTTGTCTGCTGTTGGTGAAATAACTAACCCCGAGTCTGGGGATGAAGATGTTTTCCCAGTTATTTCACTAAAACTGGATAAGGTTTGGGACCTCGACAAAGATTCCAAGGTACAATTGACACCTATATTTATGTTTAACTGTCTACCTTTTAAATGGAGTTATAATTAGAAAATAATAACCTAATAATTTATGTTGCAGGTTGATGTCTTCTCTATAATACCTGCGCCCCACGATGTTGTTGGTTTAGAAGATTGTAGTTGGGCTGATGAGGTCCGTGACCCAGGTGTTGAAGTTATTCTTTCTAAAATTGAAGAGGGATGCGAATTCAACCGAGGGATGTTTGTAGGGGGACTTAGAGGCGCTGTTTTGCATGTTGAGGCTCCTCCTCGGGTTGTTAACAAAGGTAAACGCAAAGTTCGGTCCAGGCATAGTGGTGAACATCTGGTCAGAGGTGGATCCTCTAGGGACAAGAAATTGAAGGTTCGTAGTGGTAAGGGGAAGCATGTCCTGTCTGACCCTAATACTTCCCTTCTTGGGGCTCTTAGAAATGAAATTGAGGCTGGTCTGAAGGATGCTCGTGGTGATGTATATGCTCATGTTTGTGTTGACTTGAAAGAAATGGAGTTGAGGTTGGAGAGGAGTATGAAACGAAGTATTTTCTCTGCAGTTGCTGAGGCTCTCAGTTCTATGGAAATTGTAAAGAGTGTTGTTACTGAGGTTGGGGTTGGTACTTCTGATCCTTACAGCCAGCCTCCCGCTAATGGTGCATCTAACCCTGTCAATCCTGCTAAAGTTGCATCTATCCTCGTTAATCCTGCTGATGGTGCATCATCTCCTGTCAATCCAGCTGCAACCGCCAACTTGAATGGTGAATCTGAAGAGGTAATTCGCTTGTTCTGTGTCACCAGTTACAGTTTTAAATTCATTTTTGTGACCTTTTCTATTTTCTAGGCTGAAGATTCTTCCTCTGCGAGTGAGGATTCCACTAAGTCTCAGGCATCGGGAGGTACTATTGATGGGGAAGGCGGCAGTGTTCCTGAGGCTGCATTTGAATCTGATGGTACTCCTAGCTCGGAGAAGTTCAAGAAGCTAGTTGAGCTACTTGAGCCAAGATTGTAAGTTTATACTCTTTTTTTCTATTAAAGCTACTTAATTATTTAGTTATGCATTAACATATGTAGAGATATACAATTAGGCATTAGCTATGCATGCTACCATGTAGAGATATATATATTCAGCCCGTATGCTATTTTATTAGTTACATGAATTTGAATGGTTCTCCTACATCTGAGAAGTTCATGAAACTAGTCGACCTACTTTAGCCAAGATTGTAAGCGCAGACTCTATTTTCCTATTCAAGCTAATTAGTTATGTAGATATGTATTAACATATGTAGAGATATCTAATTAGCCATTTAGCTATGCATACTACCATATGTACATATGTATTAACATATGTAGATATGTATTAACATATGTAGAGATATATAATTAGATATCTAAATGTTATATATTGTGTTGCATTGTTATGTTGTGTATATTATTATTTGCAGTGACTTTGAGTATGGTGGAGGAATTGTTTTGAAGGAGAGTGAATTGCGTCTGGTTGCTAGTAGCATACCCCCTGATAATCCCCAGGTTTATCTTTGTTCCATGTTTTTTTTATCCTAGAGACATTTGGTACTTTCCGTTACTAATTGGTGTATTTTAGGTTATGGATGCTTGTGTCTCTGTAATGAGAGAATCTGTCTTCATTAACACTGATCCAGCAGGCGTCCCTAGAGCTGATATGCTGACAAGCCATTTCCATGGTTCTCTTGCTGTTATGTTCTCTAAATTCAAGAAGTGTAGGCGCAAAGAGAGTTTTGAATTTGATGAAGATCTGTTGAGCTCAATAACTCACAGATTTAGCAGCACTGGAAGGAAATGGCTTGAAGCCATAGATTACCTCTACTCTCCTTTCAACATTGACAAGAACCGCTGGATTGCTGTCATGGTGGACCTGCCCTCGCATTCACTCTCTGTTTTCGATTCTACTGCTAATGCCCTTCGTGGATCCAGACTTAAACCTGAACTGGAGTTCTTATGTGAGATGTTTCCCTATTTGGTTCGTAAGATTGGTGCGAACGATCTGATGATAAATTACCCGTTGTCTCCGTTGTCTTTCACTCGCCACACCCGCGTTACACAAGCTTCAGACCGCGCAAACACCGGTATGCTTTCCCTTCTTTTTATGGAGGCGCATGCATTTGGTGGTTTCGATAAGGTTTGTCAAGTCTCAGAGGCTGGTCTTCGTCAGCGAGCAGAGCAGCTAGCTGTTCAGTTATATGAGCATTGCTGTGGCGATATCGAAGTATGAAAAGGCTATGTCTTTCTTCCCTCCGATCCCTGTATAACTTTGAACAATTTCTGTCATTTCTATTACCTTTTGTGTTTGTTGTTTCAAATCTGGACTTGTTTAGGATTTGGGGTAATACTTTATGTTAATGCTGGCTAAGGAATGTGTTGGACTTTTACTTAATCTCGACCCTTTAGTGTAACCTTTTTATTAGTCGTATATGTTTGTTATTAGATATTCAACGATGTTTAATGTTATGCTTATGGATATATATTTCTCTAAGTAAACATTTGCAAACGTATTGTATAAGTTTTATGTTATTTAGTTTAATAGATATTCATTATTATATAGTAGTATGTAAAATACGGAATAGACTCCAACAAACATTTAGGCAATCTATTTATTTCTTTATTATGTTTCCGTTTCCTAAGTTTTCGATTTTGTATAACAATAAAAGAACTCTTCCATTAGATAACTATATTGAAAGAGCTACAGTTAACTGCGCCGTAAAAGAGATACAGTGGGCTATGCCTGCGTAGTAGGGGGCACCTAAAAGCCTATGACGCGTACAACACGAAGACGCGTTTTCAATGCGGGGTCCACCGACTCAAAGCTCACCCTTTCCAACCCATTAAAGGTTGTTATTTAGTTGGTGCTGCAGCCGAAGGGGGAAAAAAATAAAAATTTCCAAACAAATGAATAACACGCCAAGACAACCGATGGCTGCGGAATCTGAAGGAGGATCAAGCTCCACGGTACAAGATTTCGGAAATGAGTTCCCAGTTGGCTTCTTTGAATGCGACTGCGGGAAGCAGGCGCTGGTCCGGCAAGCGTGGACGGACGCAAATCCAGGCAGACGGTTCTATAGGTGTGGTGCTGGTTGGAGAAGCGAATGTAACTACTTCCGGTGGAAAGACCTTGAGAAACCACATGGATGGCAGTATAAGGCTCTGTTGGAAGCTAGGGATATAATCAAAGCACAAGATGCAGAGCTTAAGAGGCTTAGGGAGACTCAAGCCGAAGGAAACCGAATCTATCCCGTTGAGGTAGGTCTTCTTGAATTCCAAACAAAAATTGAGCAGTTGGAGAAGGAAAGTATCGATTTAAAGAGCGATTTGAAGGCAAGCAATGAGAAGGAACAAACTCTCCGAGAAGTCCTCATAATTTCGTGGATAGGATTTATTTGTGTTTTAGCGACGGTCGTCCATGCGTTTAAGTAAGCAACTAAATGTATAATTATATGTGTAATAATTTAAGTAAATTGTACTCCGAACTTGTCTTTTGATGGTATAACCGTCTATTCCTGTGATGTAACCGGCTAAATTGACTATGTTTAATATATTTAGTTTCTGTAATCATTTAATTAACTTTAAATTTCGAGTAAATATTTTGGCCCATTTAGCTATGAATGAATCAACTAGCCTTCTATATATCAAAATGTCAGAAATAGTTAGATATCCAAAACTTAACTAGGAAAGAAATGATGTTTTTAAAACCTTTTTTTTTTTTTGGGTTTCCTAGGCTTAGTATTTTTAAAAATTGCCACGCGGTAGGTTGTTTTGTAGACGTAACAGTTAGTACGTGGCGGTGTATTTATTGTCTTGTTGTTATATTTTTTTGATTACTAAGTTATCTAGTTTCGTGAGCTTATGTATAAAGAAGCGTTAGGAAACAACTTAAGCCGAAAGCATTAATATATTACAAAGCCAGATTGAAAAGTGTGCGGACTCACAAGATCAACGCAATACACCATTTCTGGCAGAGTTCAGGATTATATTACATACGTGGGGAAGGTTCCCAAAAACGGAGATAAATATTACAGAATTGTGCCTGTGGCATGCTCATCATACATTGAAAATGTTGCCACTTCTTTAAGCCGTGAACAGGAAACACATTGATCCGAAGAGCTGCTTTTATACATCCAAAAGGTGCAGCTGATGAAAGCATATTATTAGAGGGATTGGTAACATAGATATCTACACGTATTACTAGCAATCTATTTTTTTAAAGTCTCGTATATCTTACCAAAGTTTAAAACCCTTAGTTATATTGGCATCTTGCAGGAAGCGCGGTTATGCCCACTCCCTCGGCATCTGGTACATCTCCGCTTCGTTATCTTCCGCGGCCTCTGTATTGTTTAATGTATACGACAAAAAAGAATGTAAAGAACTACTACTTGTGTTAGACATCTATATATTTTATGTTATAGTACATAATACCTTAAATTCCCCAGTTGAAAGGTATCTAGTACGCTTTGGCCTACCTGGTGGCCTCCTTGTGAGAGGAGGTAGAACCGTCAATGTTGCAATTCCGTCTGGCACCTCACGCAATGTGCTTAAGTCGGGGACGGGATGGATGCTGCCATTGTAAGCGAGACTCCAGAAAAAGCTTCCGTACTGAGGGGCAGCCAACATAGGTACACTCATGTCACAACGGATCGCGGCTGCAATTGCGTGGCTGCAAGGTATCTGCAGCAAAGTGAACTCCTCGCAGGTGCATGTCCTTATTTGGAGATCCACAGCATATGTTAGACCTGTGGTGGTCTTTACTTCGTATTGCTCGTTGTTGATCTTGGTCACTTCGTAAGCTGTGGACCGTTCATAGTTTTGCTGGACTATTTCTTCCACCTTTGGTGTAAGAGCCTTGTCGTGTTGGGTTGCCTTTTCCCTACGCTTCTCAAACCAAGTCATCAGAGTAGCTCTGATGTACTCAAGCGTCGACACTATTGGCAGCTCTCGTGCCTCCTTAAGCACTGCATTGAGTGACTCGGCTACGTTTGAAGTCATGATGTTGAACCTTTCCCCATAGCTGTGCGACCTAGTCCAATGTTCTAAACCAATAGACATTAAGTACTCGGCGCATCCAGGTGAGGTTCGCTCTATTTCTTCGAAGAGCTCGTTGAATGTTGACTTCTTGTATGCTCTAGCTGCCTTCGAGATAAGGCCAGCGAGCATTCTTTTCTTAAACTTGGTAGCCACATTCCTTTGTAGATGAACGATGCAAGCCCCATGGTTCGCCCTTGGATACACCTACAAATAATCATGATATTTTAATTAATACCCAACTATTATATAATATACATCCCTATATACTCGCAATACACTCCAAATGTTATATAGGCAAGATATAATATAGACATCCATACCTTTCCGAGACCTGTGTATATCGAAGAGTGACGGTCCGACACGAAAGTTAGATTCTCGCCATCCGGGATTATCTTCTTTAGGCATGTGAAGAACCACTCCCATGATTTGTCATTCTCCCCATCGACTATCCCAAATCCAATCGGGAATATCTGGAAATTCCCGTCTTGTGCGCTTGCTGTTAGGAGACACCCCGCATACTTTCCCCTCAAATGCGCCCCGTCTATTATCACAACATTCCTCATGAACTTCCACCCTCGGACACTTGCCCCAAGAGCTACGAAACAGTACTTGAACCTATTATCGCCATCAATATCCACCTCGGTGTGCAAATCCGTGACGGTACCAACGTTTGCCCTTGTCAACATGTGAAGGTAGCTAGGTAGAATCCCATAACTCCCATTTGGGGATCCTTTGGCTAAGTCCATAGCAAGCTCCCTTGATCGCCACGCCTTCCAGTACGAGACGTTGACATTATATTCCTCCATCAGAGCCCGCCTTATTCCTATCGGTGTGGGCCCTACTCCAGTACCGCTGTACTTTGACTTCATGATTTGGGATATCACCGACGTAGTAGCTTGGCGTGGAAACTGGCTTCTCACTTCTATTGGACATGTATGCTCCAGATGGGCTGTTCGAAGTTCGAAGTACTCAGTCTCGTCCAACCGTACGCAGTACACTCTCCACGGGCAAGTATCTAACACACAACGAACAATCACAACATCGTTGGTGGTGCGGTGATTTCGATAACTGAACTTCCTGTTGATAGCGTGGACTGCTATTTTAACTTTGCAATCGTCTCGATTCTTGAATACACGTCCCACAAACAGCTCGTCACCTTCGTAGTCGACATCCAGCACGACTAGCCTCGTCCTCTCTGAACCTATTAAAACAGTTACCATTTTAAATCATTTAATAGCGGTTTATTTGTTTTAATAGACATCTATTTATAACATGCAAATAATTGAAAATTTTAAATAATAGTTTACCGTCTGGCTCGTTGTCATCAAACACTGGCGCTGCGTCCCTTGCGAATGTGTGTTCAGGCAGGCTTAGCATCCTTAACATTCTGTGAATCTGGGCAGCTGTACGGTTGTCCTCTGCGATGTTATTTAAGAACATATCCCGTTTATTTAGTTTATTGGGCATCCATTTTGCTAACAAAATAAAGGTATTTTTATATAAGTTTTTTCACCATTGATGTGGTCTGCTGCATTTTCTTGGGTCGCTTGGACGTCCTGTTGTCCTGAGTCGGCGCCTACATCTCCGCCAGGTTCGTAAGCTACGGATGTTGCAGAACAAGTTAGACATGTATGTTATGTTGTAACTGAATATCAGTAGGTTTACTTTGTAGGATACAGTTATCTTTTGGAAACTAGGTAAACTAGATTTTTTACCATTGATTTGTTCTGATTCCTCTGCTTGAGTCGTCTGGTCGTTCCCTTGAACCGAGTTCTCGCCGATATCTCCACTAGATCTGTCGGCTGTAGATGTTAAAATAAGAGTTAGACCGTTATATTTCTTGTTGTATATGTATATATAAATGATACCCTCCACATTCTCTGACCTCTTTCAAAATCTGAGAACAGGTCTCTGGTTAGTCGTGTGACCCTGTTATTGTCGGAAGACGAGCTTGCTTCAGGTTCTAGTACACAGACGGGTGACCCATGGGTCTGTGGAGCCTCTGTCAAGGTCTTGTAATGCCTCAAAGCCGCTGAAAGTGTAGCGAACCCGCTGCCTGCGTACGAATTCCCTATCCATCCAAGGGGTCCATCATTGCTGTCCCCCACGTCTTCTCTGGGAACTTGCGAGCAGATGATGTTGTCGCCGGCTTCTCTGTCAAGACGGCGCTTTCTTTCTTTCTCCAGCTCCTCCTTACTCATCACTTCACA